CTCCCAGTCCCCCCCCCCCACGCACCAAAAAGACCTCAGGTTCTTAGTTCAGTGTTCGATTGTGTATTTTTTTTAGAATACCTGTAGCACACTGTGGTGTCATATACTGTGGTGTTTAGTTTTCCATAATATTTCTAATGACTGTCCTCTAGGAGTTAAAAGTTTTACCTGTTTCACCTCCAGTTTTCAATTCCATGTCTAATTTTGCATTTGATGTTTTCTCAGAATATCCGTGGCACATGTTTGCTGTCGTATAGCAGTTCTAATGACTGTCCTCCAGGACTGACAACTTCGTATCTTTGTGAAGCCAAAGAGGCCTTTGAAATCGGCCTCCTCACCAAGAGCCTGGACGAGCCTGTGGCTGGGAAGCAGGAGCTCCACAGTTTCCTCAGGGCCGCTTTTGGCCTCACCATGGTGCACCGCAGGCTCTGTGGGGAAGTGGGGCCGGTGCGCGAGGCCCGTCGGCTCTGCCTTGAGGCCGTGGGGAAGCTGTATGCATTCGGTTCTTTTGCCAGAAACTGGGAGAGAGCAGCTCTCTCTCGGGAAATCATGTGTATTATCGCCCAGGTGAAGGATCATTTACAGGTCCAGAGTTTTCCAAATTCAGAAGACAGGTCTTATGTTCCAGCGGGTTTCACATGTGAGCTGGACAAACCCCTCTTGCTCGGGCAAGTGAGTTTCCAGAAAATCCTTGAAGTCTATTCGCAGCACCACACCTCAGTGTGTGAAGTGTTTGAAAGCACCTGTGAAAGCAACAAAGACAAACAGAAAGGTACAAGCACTGGCCTCTGCATCACTGCACTGAATATAGATACAAAAAGCACAGAGACCGTGGGCACTGAGGACAGACTGTGTTTTCAAAACAGCATGGGACTGTCCTGCTCCCAAATAGCTAATGAAAGCCAGGCAATGCTCAGGAGGGCAGGAAGGAACTGGATCTGCACAGATGCGTTCCGAGTCTCCTTGGGCCCAGATGTGGACACCCAGGCTGTGTCACCCGGCCACAGCAACAGCAGGGAAGCTACTTCCAGCAAGGCTCTGAGCGACAGCCAGAGCTTCAGTTCTTGGAGCAAGTTATCAGCGAGCGGTTCTTCTACGAGCTGGGAGGAAGTGAACGACCACATTGGTAACAGTTCAGCCAGAAAAGAGCCCAACACAGATCATCCTGTGGACACTCAGGGGTCCACTGCCCGGGCCAAAGAGCTGGACAACAACAGGGAAAGTGCAGCCATGAATTCACTGTCTTCAGAGGTCCACAGTCTTTCTTTCCCGGTGCCCACGGATGACAATGCAGAGTCTTCTCCAAGTCACATGGCCTCAAACACCTCCCCTCCTCATAGCACCACAGGCACCTTCTTGGCCTCTGGTGCAGGGCTGCTGGAAGGAACTCCAGAAGAAATGCAGACAGGCAAAAGTACGGGCTCCAGAAATACTTCTGGCCAGCCCAGGCCCTCATTTGGATATGCTGCTTGGTCTTCTTCTGATTCTAGTTGGCCCAAGAACATGGCCACACATCCTTCTTTCCAAGAAGAAGAAACCTTTGAAATAATTGATGAGTTTCCAGAAATCAACTGTGATGCCACAGACGGGTCTGGAGAGGAGAATGGAGGAGACATCACAGGAGGCACAGGCCCTGCCTTTCAAGGCAGCCCGTCCTGGGTGGACCCAGGAGAAACAGCCGACTGCGAGGATATGCCCTTGGGCTCTCACAGAGTCACGGGTGAATCTCTGGGCAAAAGTTCCACAATGGCTTGTCACCCTGTCACTCCTCTCTGGCCTGTTCAAAATCCCGAGTCAGGACGAAGTGGCAGCTCAGCCCAAGAGCAGGTGGACCCCGATGCCTCCACGGAGGGTGAGGGGGACCAGCTGCTCAACCTCACAGGGCCACAGGGCTGTCACAGGCCGTGTGCTCTGAGGAAGCTGTGTGGTCAGGGGGCTAGGACCCCCCATGCCTCTGGAAGCCATGAGGACTGCACCACCACTGAGGAAGGAAATGAACCTGAAAACGTGCTCAGCTGCAGCCAGAACTCCAGCTTGTCCTCGGCCAGCTGGTGGAAATCTGTACTCTCCAGCAGGTCCTCCGAGGGGGGTGGCCCATGGTCCTACCTGAATTCCACTGGAAGTTCTTTTGTTCCATTGGCAGGAACGATGAGGCGGGAGACCCTCGAGGCTCGCACCCTGCAGCCCGATGACCTTGAAAGACTCCTGGCAGGAGTGACGAGTGACTGGTTGCTCCGGAGGCTGGAGAACACAGGGGTATTCAGGCCCAGCAGGCTCCACCAGGCGTACAGTAAGTACCCCAGCCTTCCGGCAGGTGCAGCCTGGGAGGTGCATGCACAACTGGGGCCCTTGAAGAGCTTGAGAGCATCACTTAAAATTCAGGGACACAGAGACCCTGTCATGCTCTGTGAGTGTCCAGAGAGATGCGATGTGTCCCACAGGGGCTCCCTGACTTGGTGCGATGGGCTCTAAGGGTTCCAAGGATTTGAGGTTCTCTTGGGCCACCTTGAATTTGGGGATTTGCCATAAGGACACAGGAGGCAGTTGGGAGGCAGGGATCCTAGCAGACTCGGGAACAGCCATCCAGCCACGAAATGGCTCTGGATACCGCTTCCCCTCAGCGTCCCGTTCATCTCATTCATATCCAAGACCTTCTCCGTTCAGCGTCCAGGGCGCAGAGCTTGGCCTAGTTAGACAACCTCCTCCCGGGGGCAGAGGCTTTACACCTGCCCACCAAGGGGCCTGGCCAGTGCCCCAGGGTCGCAGTCAGCAGCTACTTCCTTAAGGGACAGCCTGAGGTCGTTTCCTGCAGCAGGGACCTGTGGCGGGGCTGCCTCCAGGCCATGCGTCCAGTATGGCTTCGAAGTATGGAGGCGCAGGGAAGAAACAAAATAAGGTTCTTCTCTGAGCCAGAGGACCCCAACTGATGCCCAGATACTGAAGAGGTGTTGGAATTAAAAGAAAAAAATCTGCTGCAGAGGACATTTCAGAATAAACCGTGTGGACCACTGAGCACTGGCTTCCTAAGTAGTTCTCAATCTTGGCACCACATGGGAACCCCTGGGGGCTCCTAAGCTTTTGAGGCCTCACCCCAATATTCCAATCAGATAGGTTGCGGTGTGGATCCAGGAGTCAGTGTTTTTTCACTTTCCCCCAGTTTTATTGGGAAACAACTGGCGTCCGTCACGGCATCCGTTCAGGGCGTGGAGCGTGACGGTTTGATTACATGAGCTGTGACGTGATTACAGTGGGTCACTGACTCCAGCCTCTCAAATAGATGCAATAAGAAGAAAAGAAAGACAAAAGAAAAAGAGGGAAACTATCCCCAGGATGAGAAGCTTGGGGTTTCCTCTCAGCAGCGCTCCTGTGCCCGGCAGCCACGGCCGCTGCAGGCTCTCGTCTTAGACCGCGGTTTGTGCCTCCCGACGGTCCTGCAGCCGCCCTCCAGCTCTGCTGACCATAGTCTGACCCCCTTCTTGTAATTCCACATAGAAGCGACGTCCTGCAGGGTCCCGACAGCCCGATTGTTCCCTGTCTTTCCCGTTTTCATTCAGTCGCATCTCTGTACAGTAGCTCTATTTTCTCAAGTAATTCCTGGACTTTCCCAAATTAAACAAAACAAGGACGAGACACTGAGGATGTGCTTTAATGTGTAATCTAAGATCCCTGGAGTTGCCAGGAACCTCTGAGGTAAAATTCTGACTTATTTGTGTCCGTGTCACCTGACATAGGTAGTCACCTCCGTTGCCTGAAGTGCCTCCCACAGGCGCCTGAGCCCCAGGGGCCCGGGAGGCGCCCGCCGGCCGCACGTGCTCTGGAGTGGCCTCCCCGCTGTTTAAAGGGCGCTTTACTCACCTCTCCGTCCACCCCGGCCCCCGGCCATCGCAGGCGAGACTCTGTGCATCAGAGGCTACCCTTTGTTTTATTTGTGACGCTTTCCTTGTTTATTGCGCCTCACTAACTTTTATTAGTCGCCATGGAAGAGGCGAAGCTATGAGAAACACGTAAAGAAGTTGGAGACGTCAGATAAGCTGGGTTAGGACCTGTGTTCTTCAACTTTATTCACAACCGTGACATCCTTTGGAAAATAAGATCCTTTTTCATCTTTTTCTTTTGACAGATGCTCTCTTCGTGAAATATTCTAAGAAATCTGAATTGTGGACAGCCCAGGAAACTGCCGTATATTTGGGGGACTACCTGGATGTGAAGACGAAGGGCAGACAAAGAAATGCCTTCTGGGTTCATCACCTTCATCAAGAGGAAACTCTGGGAAGGTGCTGATTAAAAACACCGATGTCGCTCGTGTGGAAGGGCTGGATTTCCTCTCTGTGAACCGCAGGTGTCCCCCCTTATCCACTGTTTTGCTTTCTGCATTTTCAGTTACTCTTGGTAACCACAGTCTGAAAATTCCAGAAATAAGTGACTCACATGTTTTAAACTGTGTGGCATTCTCAGCGGCGCAACGCAGCCTCGTGCTTTGTGCCGGGCGCCCACCCTGGAGACTGGCCGCTGCTGCTCACGGGGCGGCTGCCTCTGGTACCCGACTGACTGCTGAGATCGAAGGGCTGTGTTCAGGTCACCCTGATGTTATTCGTAATGCCACATTCATGTAACCTATAGTGTATTTTATTAGTAATCGTTGCTTACCTCTCACTATGCCTAGTTTGTAAGTTAAACTTTACCGTAGGTGTGCGCGTGTGAGAAGAGCACAGCGTGCGCAGGACTCAGCGCAGCGCAGCTGCGGGCAGCCGCGGGCCGTCCGGAACGTATCCGCCCCGGTAGGAGGGCCGCTGCCATCCTTTATGAGATTCTGAAAAGGCTAAAAAGTTGGCCAAAGTGTATGCTTTCAGGTTTCTGCTCCTTCCTCCGCATCGATTAATTGGGAACAGTTTCCACAGGTTGGGCGACATTATGCCGGTGTCTTACTCAGACCCACCTGAGCTCAGACCTGTTTCGGAAACATCGTCCTGCTGAGAAGATGAACAAGATGGAGCTTCTGGCCGTGTCGTGGGGCAGAGAGTATTAAACACTCCTACTGAAAATGCTGGCAGCCTGGCCGGGCGCTCAGGTGCTCGGAGCATCGTCCCGCACACCGGAAAGCCGCGGCTTTGGTTCTCGGTCGGGACACGTACCTACATGGCGTGCTCGGCCCCCATTCAGGGCGGGTGCAGGAGGCACCCAACTGATGTTTCTCTCGCATGGATGTTTCCCTCTCTCTCTCCCTTTCTCTCTAAAATCTATCTTTTTAAAAAGTGTCCTTAAAAATGTCTAATTCAACTATGAAAGCCACACTTTTAGTAAATGAATGAGCCTGCAAAAAAGGCAGGACCGTCCCCTGAGGCCAGAGAAGAAGCACGTCCCGGAGTAGAAGTGAAATGAGCCTGAGACACCGGCACGGAGGGTGGGGCAAGGGAGCAGCTGGGGAGGACAGTTGCACAGGGAAGGGACAGGTTCGGAGACCACCCACGTGGAGCCAGGATTCAGGAATGGCTCGTCCTGGAGGGAGAGGTCACCCTGGGTTTTGTTTGTTTGTAGATATGTCGGGAAGGAATACAAGGAGCCGAAGGGGCTGTGGCTCCACTTTTCTGACGTGGAGCGTCAGATGACCGCCCAGCACTACGTGACAGAGTTTAACAAGAGACTTTATGAACAAAAAATCCCAACACAGATATTCTATATCCCATCTGCAGTACTACTGGTAAGATTAAAGAGAGCAGGGTTTGGGTAAACAGGCCCATAAATATGTATTAGGTTAGGTGTCTATCGCCACCTTCCTGCACCATCATTCTGGTAAAAGTCAATCAGCTCAGTTACCAGCCTCCTTTATCTACGTATCCACAGACAGATAAATAAGAAACGTGACCCTCTGTCTGCTAAATGCATCACGTCCCCCTGTGGGGCCTGGGGTCTACCCCACGGTCAGGTTAGCATCAGCCCACCTCCCACATCTTATCTCTGCTTTCAGAGACCATGTCTAATAATTCACCTGACGCATGAATCTCGTGTCAAACCTGTCGGCCCCCAACTCAACCAAGTGATTCGTAAGCCATGGCTCACCTGTGGTGAGAAGAAAATAACAATTACGTTTTCACTTTCAAATTAATTCTGTTATGAAGGTCTTAGATTTGGCCCAAATCTGTCTTCCTCTAATTTCTACCTACAAATTACAGCTCTGTCTGCTGGGACACTAAGACCAGCCTCTTCAGGAAGACCTCTCTTCAAACGCTGTCCTCTTCGGATTAAGGACACCCTGCTCCCCCGAGGTCCTCATTCACACCTAAAGGATTTATTGTTTTACTTTGCCCAGGGACAGTTTTACACCCATTTTTACTATTTACAATAATAACTTGCCTTCCATTTTGCACTTTCCTTATGTCAAACACTATGCTGGGCATTTAACAAACTTTACCTCTCACCCTCTCAGACAGCTCTGGGGGTGGATCGTGCCCCGAAACACCTGAGCTGAGGCTCAGCCTGGGCCCCGCCCGAGCTAGCACCCGGCAAGCTCATCCCCAGGACAGCACCTCCCGGCCCAAGTTTGACGTGAGCATATTAATGAAAGAATAATAACTTTAGGTTCTATTATATGCCAACAACGTTAGGCACTTTACATGCAAATAAGGAAACCCAAATCTAGTGTAAAATCTCCAAAGTGGCAAATCCGGGGCTCACGATGACACCTGCCTGTCCCCAAAGCCCATGCCTTCTCCCTGATGTCACACTGCGTCCCGTTTCTGTTTTTCAGATTTTAGACGACAAGACAATAGAAGGATGTATCAGTGTGGAGCCTTACATACAGGGAGAGTTTGTAAAATTATCAAATAACACAAAAGTGGTGAAGACAGAGCTCGCGGCCACAGAGTGTGGCTTGGCCTTCGGCCATTTCTCTTACGAGTTTTCCAACCACAGAGAGGTTGTCGTCGATTTACAAGGTATGTGAGACGGGAACGACTTTTCGTTTTTAGTATTACTTATGTGTAAATGGGAGGTTTTGTGACTCGTTGTACCAATCACTCTTTATTAGATTGTTCAGTGTGTATTTAGAATTAAATTAATCGATTTGACTCTAGGTAGCAAATGATGCCTGAAAAACACACCTGGAGCTGCTGTAAGCGTCTGAGGTGTTAGGGGATCAGTGAGAGGGTCGGGCTCACGCTCCACTGGGCCAACTTCTAGAGCAAACCCCACGGCTTTTTAAATCTCACTCGGGTGACTTGAGTGGCGGGTTTCTTCATGTTGAGTGTTTCAAAGCGTGAGAAATGCCCCCTTGTTCCTTCCTCCTGCCTTTGCTGTTAGTCCAAGTGTGATGTTGAGGCCGTTAGGGGACAGGAGGCTGTGTGCACTTGAATCTGACTTCTTTTAAATTTTCCGCATTAATATTTAAATTTTGTTTGTGTTCATCCGGCATGTTATATGTATCAGAGTTATTAGCCAATACTCTGCACTTTGTTTAAATGGTAAATGAGGTTAATTATTTCTATGACCCTCCCCTAAGACCCGTCCCCTTCCGCAGCCTTTGCCGTCACACCCGGTGACGTGTGTGTCACGCTCCCGTGCATTGTTTTCCCACCTGCCCGCTTCAGACGTTCACTCAGCGAGCGCGCCGACATTGACAGACCTGTACCCGCCCCTCACTGGGCCCGGTGCCTAAAACTGTTCTGCACAGGACGTGCACTCACTAAATATTTGTTAAACAAATGAACATACAAATTAATGAAGAGGCACTAAGGAAATGTGTAAATCACAACAGTAATATTCAGTATTGTGATTTTAGTAATTATATAAGTGCATTTTGTTGCTCTCAAATTCCTTGAAAATTGGTGGTTTGGGTGTTTTATAGATGACAAACTTAATTATCCAATATTCAGTTCTTTTTAGAACAATATTTGGAGTAATGACACTAAATCCCTTAGCAGAAATGTATTAAATGTGAGGCACAGGATGCCAGGGTTGTCAATGTTTCTCTGAGAACAGAAATATTTCCTGAGATGCTTTACGGACATCCCAGAGGACCTCGCTCTCAGACACGCTTGTTTCTCTCCAGGCTGGGTGACTGGGAGCGGGAAGGGGCTCCTCTACCTGACAGACCCCCAGATCCACTCTGCGGACCCGAAACAGGTCACTGCCAACTTTGGAAAAAGGGGGATCTCCTGCTTCTTTAACAACCAGCATGTACAGTGTAATGAAATCTGTCGCCGTCTTTCTTTGACCAGACCCTCAGCTGAGAAGCAAAACCAGTCCTAGGCTGTGTGGGCTGCGGGCGTGGAGGCCACAAGCGCCCCCCAGACAGTCTCCCCGCTCGGGCGCTCGGCGCCACTCAGCACAGCCTGCTCCCGTGGGCTTGGGGGCCTGGGGGCCCTGGCGCTGGGCTGGCCCGTGATTTATGAGAGGAATTGATGTATCTCAGGCCCACATTTAATGCCAGTGCGAGACCCTGCGCGGTCTCTTTCCCTCTCCGCAATCACCATTTCTCCCTCACAGCAAACGGGAGGGTAAGTTTCCCCCAATAAACATCTGCATCCAATTCCTTCTTGGTATTTGCTTCTCGGAGAACTTAAACTAATAAAAATCATCTTCTTAACAAAATAAAGGGGGAAATGATATTATAATATCAAAAGATACAGAAAAAATACTTATAATTGAAAATCAATTCATGGTTTTAAAAAAAGAAAACAACTCTTTGTAAACAAGGCATAAAGGAAAACTTGCTGAGTTTGATAAAGGTTGTTAATTTTTTTTTTCCACAGCAATATAACAATAGTGAAACAGTTGGAGCTTTCCAGTTGAGAAAGGGAAGAAGTAGTCTTCCCACTTCCCCAACCCTGTTCAACGTTTGTGGGAAAATAGAATGAATATATCATGTCTGTGCCCCTGGTTCCTGGCACAGGGCTCCTCAATCCCTTGAAATTTCCTGGGTGATAGGAATTTATTTTGTCCTAATGAGATGGCTCGGGTGGGGCCTGGTTATTAGGAAGTCCAGATCAAAAGCTTTCCACCCGCCCCTGTCCTTGCGGGGGAGAGAGGACAGGATGACGGATCGTGCCTGCCGATGAGGCCCCGTAAAATCAGAGAGCCCGCGGCCGAGGCACTGCCCGGAGTGCGGGAGGGAGGCACATCGGGAGGGACGCGGAGGCTCAGCAGCAGCCCCTCCCCAGACCGCGCCCTACGCATCTCTTCCCCTGAATGTCCATCCATAGCCTTCATCAGATCCTCTTATAACAAACCAGTAAGTATAAGAGTTTCCCTGAGCCGCTCTAGCATATTATCAAGCCCACGGAGGGAGCCGTGGGAGCCCCAGTTACAGCCTTTCAGTGAGCAGCCTGGGAGCTGGCGTCTGCACTGAGGCCCCTGCCCTGCGAGTCTGTTGCTGACTCAGGTGGAGTGTCCGCACGGACAGGCATTCCAGGACAGCCAGGGGTCAGGAGGCCGCTGCTGTGGGAAACCCACGGGCCTGGCGTCAGAGAGCTGGGGGCGCTGATGCGCGGGAGTGAAGGGGAAACTCGGAGTCTCTTCTTCCTGTGGAGCGCTGTAGAAGAATCCCAGCCGGAGACAGACGGGCGACAGAACTAGGAACCCCATCGACGTGACGGCCTGGGCACAGTCAGCACGGCTGGAGGATCGGAGAGCGGAGGCCGCCGCTGAGGCTTCTCACCCCTCAGTCAGCCCACCCCTGAGACTGGGCGGTGGACCACTGGTATATAGCAGTTGGGGGACAGTGATGCATTTCTAAGGGGATCTGGGTATTTGATAAAATTAGTGACGTGATATCTTAGGCTTTTTAAACTTCCTCCCCTATTCTTCAATGTTTATTTCTCACAGCAAAATGCATGGATACTGGAGAATTTCCAAGAAATTTTTAGAAAAACTCCACTATCACTTTTCTAAATTGAACTAAATAAATAATTTATATTTTAATCTTTTGCATGTAGAGTTGTGAAATGACACTATTCAAAAGGCTGAGCTTTGGGAGTAGTTACACTCGAGGAGACTCAGCTTTTGTCCCTTCAGACACGAGGCTTTGGTTAATTCGGCACTGCTGCTGCTGAGGATGATTCTCGCCCTGTCGTCTGGTGTCTGGACATACAGACGTCTTCTGCATTCAGTTCAAACTGGGAGTGAAGTGCAAGGGGCAAGGGAGAGGAGAGAAAAGTAAATCTCTTTATGACGGGGCGGAGCCGCCCGCGTGCCCCGGCCTTGCAGCTGCACAGGGAGACTCGCTTTCACGCCCGTAACGCGAGTGTGAATAATCCTTTCTCGAGCGGTGGCTTTGTCAGGTGACCTTGAACGGCCGTCGGATCTGCCCCGTTCCCACTGCACTGCTGTCTGTCACCCCGGGGCATTCACCATCTTGACTGTTGTTTAGAGAGAACCACCATCCATCATTGGACAGGGAGCCACTTTCTCATAGAAAAGTCAAATCAGCATGGGACAGGATGAGCCCGTGTTCTGCAGATTAAAACGATGCCATCGCCCGCATGCTGCGAGGATTAAGAAGGTTATCTTGTTGTGTGGCCCACTCAAGTGTGCCCCTTGCAGTCAGTGAAAATGGTGGAAAACAGAGAATTTAACAGGAAAAAAGGCCCAGAATATTACCTTCCATCTACACACCTTCCCTGCAGACGACACTACAAAGCAGCATCCGCCTGAAGGGGAGCTGCCTCTGCCACGTGAGGTGCCGAGTTTGTCACCAGAGATGGGCACCGAGCTATTGTCCGGCTGCCTCCGCAAGTGACGGAAACGGGGTGAGACACATGAGCAGCCCTGCCCCGGGCACGTCGCTCCCTGAGGGCAGGTGGGAAATCCTGCAGCTACAGTGTCAAGTTATCGACATGCTTGTCCATGGTGTGGTCCCCACAGGAATAAAATTTTAAATGAATCGCATATGGAAATGAGCTCACAGGGGAAGGCTGGGATTTAGCTCTTAATTTACTAAGCTGAAACAAGTGTTTATCATGTTACAAAAAATAGTATTTTTCAAATAATTGAATCCGTAACTGTGCTACATTTGTTTTTAGAAATTATTTTCAAAAGCAAGAAGAAAAATAAGCATGTAGGGTTTAATTTTATATTAAGTGCATTAATTAAAATTAATGTAAGAAAAATACCTTTCTAATTAAATATTTTTTAAAACTTAAAATAACTTTAAAGTTTAATTTGTGTTTTGCCATTTAGACAGCACACTGGAAATGACACAGGCTAAGGAGAGAGCTGTGATTCCTGAGGGCTCTGGTGAATTTTAGGCAGCCCTGTTATTAGAAATGTCTTCCTTGTGTACAGTTTGTGCGTATTTTCACACCAAATTCTCTCTTCAAGTACAGACCATTTTCTAGTCAAAGGGATTTAGAGTCAAAGAATGCCCTGTTTTGTTACTTTTAACTAAATGTTCAAACGTCACTCATCTGTCCGTGGCTCCCTGCTCTGTAACTGTCCTGGGACAGTAAGTGAGAGCAGCGGACTTCGTGCGAGTTCTCTGCCCCGGCTGACACCTTCGTTTCCTAAACAAATCACCAAAAAGCAGAGGGACTGTTTGAACACTTTTGTGAGACATTCGACATGGTCTTTTCCAAATAACAGAAGACCCATCACGACTGCTTTCAGTCGGGAACGTCGTCTGGGGCAGCACCTGGACCGTGCGCAGTGTTCCCTTGGGCTAAGGGCAAGAGCCCCGAGCCACCTGCCCGCCGGCCCGGGACGCGCAGGGAGCCGCCGCCAGCTGCGCGCTTCCCCGGCCTCCAGGGCGCGTTTTGGCGGCAGCCGGGCCGGCCTGGCCAGCATGCGGGCCCCATCTGAGTGGTCGGCCTGTTTGCCCACCACAGATGCCTCAGGGAGACCCTTCAATGGGCATAAAGGTGAAGGGCAATGGAGCCCGGGAGCCTTGTCCAAAGATTCAAAGGTATAAATCGTTCTGACAAAGGAAATTTAAAATATCAAAGTCCTAGGGCTTTCAGACAAGCACCAAAGAACATGACCTGAGTGAGCTGAATATTAGAGAGAGCATCAGAGTCAGGGTGGCCTCACAACCTCCCCCAAAGTGGCCACTCACTCTCCGGCCTCCTCACAGCCCCACGTTGTGGCAGCGTGGCCTGGGCACCGTCGGAGCTGAGCAAGGACACACGCAACAAACAAACATTATTCCTGGGCCTCTCTAGATGATAGACTCTCATATCAAGGTGAATTAAACTTGGCTTCTCTAAATCTGCACTGCCCAGTATCAGCTTTCATTACTTTCAACTCGAGGAGGGAAATTATCAAAAACACGTCAGTCCCTCCCACGTGGGTAAGTCTTGTTGCTTGTGAATAAATAGCAGCTGCTGATTAGGAGACAGTTCCAACGGCCCGGATGCCAGGAGAGCTCCAGTCCTTGTCACCACCAACTTTAAAAATGAATGAAAATGCAAGTCGATGTGAATTGAGTGCTTGGTTGTTGGATGGATGTCAACTGTTTTACTTCCTTGACTGTTTTTGAAGACGGCCCCAAAATGCTGTGCCCAGAACTGGGACCAGCCAGAATGGGTCTCAAACACTGAAATATAAACTGAAGAGACCCTAGAAGAAAAGAAATGTTTTACAAGATCTAAAAGTCAACCCATCCATCAAGAAAGCATTGTTTTCAGGAACCATTTCTGAAAAGTCTGGACAAGAAGAGGCCTGCTAGGCTGGCGTGTTCTGAAAGGAATTCTGTGTTCCACGCTGCTGAAAGTGGGTGCCCTTCATCCCTGCAAACTAACCCTGGGGTCGTTTCCTCTTTCAACAGTGTTGTATGTGTCTTATGAAAAGAGAGCCACAGGCACCTAAGTCTAAGTGCAAAAGAGTAGCCTTTAAGAATATACACCCACGTGTGTGTGTTTTGAGGAAACTTTTAAAAAATCCAGACTGTGTGATTAAATCAAGGGTCTTGAAATGAGAGATCTATTCTGGATTATATAGTAGTACTGATGTAATCACAGGGATGCTCATCAGAGGGGGGCAGCTGATTAGAGAGACGGGTAGATGGGAAAACAGACTCAGGGAGAGACTTGAAGCTGTAACACCACTGGCTCTGAAGACGGAGGACTGGGCAAGCCAGAGAACGTAAGCAATGCAGTGCTCAGAGCCAGAAAAGACAGGAGGCTCTCCCCTCAGAGCTCTCCCGAGGAAGAGCTTTGCCATTCGCCCAGAGAGACTGCTTTAGGACTTCTGGACTCCAGAAGTGTAAGAAATCACATTTGTGTTGTTTAAGCCAACAAGTTTGTGATAATTTCTTA